GTCCTTGCGCTGCTGCTGCTGCACAGCAGCTGCTTCGTGTGCGGGGCTGCTTCTGCTCCTGCTCCTTCTGAAACGAGGAAGGCTTCTGCAAAACATATATCTCTACCTTCTGTTCTGCAAGGAAAGTGGAGCTGGGTGGAGGTGCCGGTGGAGGTGTCGTGCAAAGGCAATGAGAAGTTAAGTTGGCGCTTCCCTGGCACAAACGAGTGGCATAATTGTCCAGTTGCGGTGGGGGGCCTTGACTACAAGGTGGACGCCGACACTGTTGATGGTGAGGAGGAGCTTGTCTTTATCGATGAGGTTGTGTCGGTGGATGTGACTGCTGGAGCAGCGGATGGTGCCGGTGAGTCCATCTGCCACTTGGCTGAGTCGCTGTACGTCACTGCGAAGTGTGACGCAAGCTGCAGCGCAGCCGCAGACAATGCGCAGAAGACGGCGTTCACGATGAATTTTTCGACGCAAGCCAGCAGCGGAGTCTACAAGAAGTGGCAAGAAACAAACAAGGCCCACATCGATTCGTCTGCTTCTCTCACTGCCGCGAACGCCAGCCCACTTGGCAAGCCAGGGATCTGTGCATTAACAGTTTCTGCCACAAAACCAGCTGGAGAGGCCGGCAGTACGCATGAAGGCACCCCGCCGGCACCTCCTCCAGGAGAAAAACCGGCACCGTCGTCGGAAGTCCCTGCAGCTCCGCCAGCCGGCACATCAGACAACGCGGCACATGGACCCGGACAGGCAGCTGCCTCTTCAACCCCTCAAGGCCCGCCCGACCCCTTCAGTTCCGTCCCTCCTGCCAGCGGCACTGATGGAACAACCACCACTACAACATCAACCCCAGTCAGCCCCGTTGTTGTGAAACACACGAAAAACCATGCGGACAGCAGTTACACCACCACCACGTTTTTGCCGACACCTCTGCTGCTGCTGCTGCTTGTGGCTGCCGTTGCCTGCGCTGCTGGATGGGGGTGAGGACAACCACACGCACACACACACCCTGGCAGGGACGACGCATACCTTTTGTGCGTCCGGTTTGCCTCTCGTCCATGTGAGCGAACGTCTTTCCTGTGGTCTGAGGGATGTTTTTTTTTTTTTCATTTTCTTTTTATCTTTTTTGTTTTTTGGGAACAATCCGCATGGAGACATCTTTTTTCTGTTCTTCTCCGTTCAACTGTTCTTCGCTGCACTCTCTTTTTGGGGTGCCGTGTGCGTCTTGCTTGGCTGCTGTTCTCACACCCACAGACACGCGGGCGAGGCAGGCCTTTTTTGGGCTTCGCCCGCTGTGCGTAGGAAGCGGAGGGCAGCGGCAAACTGCACAACGAAGGCCCCGTCGAGTATGTAGTCGTTAGCAGAGGCCAGTGGGACGAGGCACATTTTTTTTTTTTTGCGTCCAGGGAGGGCACACGCTTGCAGCCTTACACCGCAGCTACGCTCTTCTGCACCTTTTTTCTTGCTAATTTTTTTTTCTTTTATTTTTCTTTCTCCGCTGTGTGAGCTCGGGGAGAGTTTTTTTTTTTTGCTTCTCTGCGGATATGGGTGGGTTTGTTCCGTGCGTGGCTGGGGAGTGGGCCCTGCGTCGTGCCACTGGACGACTACGCGTCCTCAATCCTTTTTGTGTTGGCCCTTGTTTGGACTTTGCTCCTCCTTGCTTCTCCAGCCTATACGCACGCGCGGAAGTAAAGAGAACAAACGCTACTTGCTGCTGTGCACATTGAAAGGCGCTGCAGTCACCACTAGCAACGCTCACCACACGGAATCGTTGCGGCCTGAACGGATTCCCCATAAGGAGGGAAGGAAGAAAAAGATTGCGAGAGCAACGGCCCAGCATGTCCCGGGATCATTTTGTTTTTGCGGTGCTGCTGCTCCTCTGCATGTTGTTGGTGCACTGCGGCAGTCAGGTTGTATACGCTGAAGTCGAAGACAAAGGCGAAAATGAACAAAAGTGGGAGCCGGGTGATCTGCTACCCAAAAAGCAGTCGTTTGCGAATGTAACCATTGATTTGAGTGCCAAAGATGGCTTCGATGCTGCAAAAAGTTCTTTCCGTGTCCCTGGAGTTGCTCTTGTGAATGGTGAGGCTTTCGTCTTTTCCGAGGCGCACTCGAAAGACTCCGTTGGTGTTGCTGCTGGCATTGCTGCAGGGAGCATCTCGTCTGATGCGGCATCAGCCTCACAGGGCGGAAGAGTGATTGATACGGAGCTGTCGGCGTACTTTCCGAAGGAAAATGGGTCGGGTGGAAGCGTCCCGCATGTTACGATGCCAACAACCATTACGAATGGGAGCACGGTTTACGTTCTGCTCGGAAAGTACGGCATTCCGGGCTCTGCTGGCAACAATAATACACGCTACACAGACCTTCTGCTGGCAAAGGCGGTGTTCGGCGACGGTGAAACGAGCAGCGTGCAGCCAAAGAAAATCAACTGGACTGGCACCTACGCACTGTGGCCCTATTTCCCCAACCAGATTTACTACAGGGGCATAACGGAGTTGGTGGGTGGGGGAGGCACTGGTGTTATTTTGAACGACGGGACGCTTATCTTTCCCGTCGAGGCCAGAAAGGCAGGAGGGACGGTGGTCTCTCTCGTCCTGCAGTCAAAAAAACCTGAGAGGGAATGGGAGCTTTCGTGGGGCACGACTATGAGCGGCTGCTCCAACCCCGCCATTGTGGAGTGGGACAGGTATTATGGGGAACTCTACATGATCACCTCTTGTGATGAGGGCTTCTACAGGGTGGTGAGGTCCCGTTACTGGGGAGAAGAGTGGATGGAGGAAGACGCGATACTTTCTCGCCTGTGGGGCACCTCACGCAATCGACAAAAGAATGGCGTTCGAAGCGGCTTTACCACTGCCACCATTTGGGGTAAGAAGCTGATGCTCTTCACCATGCCGGTGTATTCGGAGGACTCAGACAACAAAGAAGTAAAGGGCCGTCTTCATCTTTGGGTGACTGACATGCAACGTGTGCATGACGTTGGGCCGATATCTGATGCCAATGAGGACGCCGCTGCCAGCTCCCTGTTTTATAAAGGTGGTGACAAGGAAGAGCTAATTGCAGTATACGAGAGGAAGAAAACTGGTGAAGGTGACTCCTACAGCCTTGTGTCTGTGGGCCTCACTAAACAGCTGCAACAGATAAAGCGTGTGCTAAAGCGTTGGAATGCATTGAACAAGGCATTGCAAAGGTGCCTTTCCGCTGACGGTGTCCAACCACAGAGAAGTGGCCACTGCCAGGGCCGCATTCCCACTGAAGGGCTGGTTGGTCTTTTGTTAAACACATTGGCTGACGGCAAAGTGTGGAAGGACGAGTACCTCGGCGTAAACGCAACTGTTCACGGGACAGTGACAAGCGATGAGTGGGGTGTGACGTTCAACGGCGCAGGAGCGGGGGCCGAGTGGCCGGTGGGCAAACTAGGGCAGAACCAGCAGTACTACTTTGCGAACAACAAGTTCACGCTTGTGGCGACGGTGACCATCCGCGCGGTGCCGAATTCGGAAGGCGACGGCTCTATTCCTTTGATGGGTGTGAAGATGAATGACGGTGCCAACACTGTGCTCTTTGGTCTGTCGTACACGAAGGGCAAGAAGTGGAGTTTCAAACTCGGTAGCGCTGCTTCTACCGACTCTTCTGACACGTGGGAACTAAACACAAAGTATCAAGTGGCACTGCAAATGAATTGGAATGATTGGACTGTGTACGTTGGTGGGAAAAATATTTACACAACGAAGTACGATGGCACCCTGTTCAAGTCGAACAGAATCTCGCATTTCTTTTTCGGCGTAGACGACAAGAGCACAGGGGAGGTGAACAGCCCCCACGTGACGGTGACAGACGTCCTGCTGTACAGCCGCGTTTTGAGTGACGCTGAGATCAAGGACGTTAAGGGCGGCAATGTCACTCTTCCACCCCCTGATGCGGAAGATGAAATCGAAGAGCATCAAAGTTACCCGCCAAGCACTGATAATGAGGATCCTGCTTCCAGGGTGCAGCCGCCCAGCGACGTTGTCAACGATGCTGAACCGACGGATGTGGATACCGCAGCAAATGTACCTACCGGTGATGCTTCGGTGCCTGCGGTGCGACCACCACAACCGGGTGCACAACTCGATGCACCGTCAGGTGGCTCCGGAACGGAAGGCGATGAGGCCACTGCTGGCAACAAAGTCGATGCGCAGCCCCACAATGCAGGACCGATGCCGGACGATGTGCAAAATGCGGGCAACACTAGCAACAATGCTGAATCGACAGAAGTGGATACCGCGCCACAAGAAAACGCCGTTGAGGTGCCAGCTTCTGCGGTGCAACTACCACGACTGGGCGAGGACACGGGGTTGAAGCTCAACAAAAGTGCTGACGGCGCTGTACGTGGGTGTATACCTCAAGTTGTGCTGCTCGTCCTGCTGGGACTGTGTGGCGTCACAGCAGTCTTTTGAGCTGAAGAATGTGGGCTTGTTGTTACCCGTCGTGGAAAAAAGTTTGCTGCAGTCCGGTGGTCGTTTTTTTTTTAATATATATATAGGTATAGTTTTCATTTCTTTATCTCTTTTTGACTGTTTTTTGTTTTTGTTTTTGGTATACACAAGATCCCCTTTTTTGCTTTGGCTTCAATGGTCGTTTGCTATGCGCACTCTCAGTGGGTGGCGCCTCTTCCCCTTCTGTTTGCTGCCGCTGCTCACACACCCGCGCTGCCTGCCTCGTCGCTGTGCGTCCCAGAGACTGCCCAAACGAGACACGCGGCCGCAGAGACTGTGGAGGGCAAATGTGTGATGTGGGGCCAGGCATTCGTTTTTTTGTTTTTTATGTTTGCGGGCAGTAAATATACGCAGTCCTCTTGTGCTTCTGGACACGTGAAGTAGAAAACACCTGCCGCCGCAATTTTCTTTTGTTTTTTCTTTTTTGTTTTCTGGGTGTCCTGCTGGAACTTCTTTTTTTTTTTAATACTAATGGTTTGTGTTTTTGCTTGAAGGTCAGTCAGTGCGGCTCAGTTTTAGTTTGTGCCGCTGTCGCTACGTGTCTTCGTGCTTTGTTTGTCCCCACTGCCGGCTGTGCGGCCATTATGCCTTCTGTTCCACTCTTCTCCCGCTAGGTGCATGGGTGGTGCTCGATGCCCGGCTGCTTTGCAGGCACGGGATCCGCTTTTTGGTGTGGCTGTGCCCGAAGCCCGTGTGTACCGCCCACACGTACTCTTGTGCTTTCCACGCCTGTGAGATTTCATTTTTTCAATGCAGTGGGCTTTATTCGGTACGAGCGTGTATACCTACAATACCGAGCCTCACGCCCCCACACACAGCCGTGGATGCGTCAATACGCCTCCTGTTTTATGTAAATCACATCGGACAGTGGCGCGAAGTCGTCCAAGCACGAGGAATAGAAGAAAATAGCGCCTGTTGGGGAGGGGGAGGAAGCGATGGGCTGGGGACACGAATGCCGGCCGCACCCTGCTGGAAAGGAGGTGGGTTTTACAAATTGGCGTCAGCCCCTGCCCCGAGATGTTTTGCACAACTGCCACTCCGCGGGGTTGGGCGACTTGCACCGCCGACCGTCGAGCTCTTGGGGCCTGTCCCCTGCGTGCGTGCGTGCGTGTGACCGGCACTTGCTCCTTGGCGCCGGTGCTTCAAGGACCGTAAATTGGGCTGTGGGAATGATGCGACGGGTTTCTGTCTTTTTGCTCGGCCGTGTGCTAACACCGGAGGTACAGACTGCGCTTCATCTGCTGTGCCCGGAACTCGCGTTGCACACGATTCACGGTGTGTGAACAGCGATGCGCTCAAATTGCTCTTATTTGTTTTCATTTGTTGGCGACGTTTGCATCGGTGCGGTGGTGGATGTGCACTGCCTCGGTGACGATGGGCGTTTCTAGTGCGCTGAGGGCGCCAGTCCCACGCCGGGGAGGACGCTCTCCGTCAGCTATGCAGTTTCATTGCCATTCGTCGAGGCGTGTGCAGGCATCAAAGTTGGTTGTGTGTTTCGGACATGACGCACTTTCGATGCACCGCATGTATTTTGTGCGTTGATGATGAACTGGCTGTGTCTGTTTGTCTGTTTGGCGCTGCCCTTGTATTGTTGTTGTTTGATTGGGGTGTTGTTTGCTGTGCGCTTGTAGATCAACGGCTGACACAGCAGGGTTTTTGCACATTTGTTTTGTGTTATTATTATTTTTTGCGGTATTTTGACTGTTTATTCTGCGGGTGCATGTGCGTACGCAGCCACGTGTGCGTGCGGCCCTGTTTTTATGGGGGATGGAACCCCGATGTGTGCGGTGTGGACTGGCGAGGGGATGCGGGGGACAGGGCGAAAAGCAAATAAATAACAGCAGCTGCGGCGCCACTCTTGTGCCCCACCGCTGGATGAGTTGGGGAGGAGTACTTTCGGTTTTTACTTTTCGTCCCTGCGTTCTTTTGTTTCCGTTTTTGTTTTTGTTGGTTTTGTTTGGCCCGTTCCGCGGATTATTGTCATTTTTGCGTTTTGTTTTGCGTGTCGCGTTGTGGTGCGTGTTGATTTGCACCACAACAGTTTTTTTTTTTTTGCGCCTTCGCTCTGTTGTCTGAGGGCGGCGCTGCGGTGACTAATGTGGAGGGCGTTTGCTTCTTTTTATTGTTTGTTTTACACTTTGAATTTGTTATTTATTTTCGAAGTTGCAGGTTTGTGACCTTCTGTGGAGATTTTTATGCCGTGTGTTCCTTGAGGTGAGCTGCCCTCCGACCCTGCCGTCGCCCCCCTCGCACTCCCTCTCCTTTCTGTGTGCGTGTGTGTTCCACTTCTCACCCTCTTCTCTTTCCCCCTCGCTAGACTCTGCGTGTGTGTGTGTGTCTTTGCTGCGGTGACAAGACTGAGGATGGCTGGCCGTGTGCTGTTGGTGTGTGCCCTCTGCGTGCTGTGCTGCTGCTGCGGCGGTGTCGGTGCGTGGGGCGACGGCTACTGCACGGAGAGTGACTGGAGGGACTTGAGGGCGGTTGCGAGGGACATGAGCGAGGCGGAGATTGAGGGGCAGTACTGCGGCCGCAAGCCGGAGTTTGTGCAGCGGCTGCGGGCGGGTCTGCAGGCGTCTGGAGATCAAAGTGAGTCTCATACTGAGCAGGGGGACAGCGAAAAAGAGTGTGGCAGTGATGCTCCCAGAGGGCCCAAAGGAGATTGCGGTGGTGGTGTGTCTACGGATCAAATTAATGGCAGAAGTGAGTCAAGCAATGAGGGAGAGGTGGGAAAACCAAACTCCACTGAGGTTCAGGGGAATCTTGGAAAGGCATCGCCATCACCCCCATCACCACAAGTG